CTTCTGAGCTTCCCTCATTATGGTATCTCATCCTCCGCTCCATCAGCCCTTTAAATAGGCAATTAGTGTTCCCCAGATATCGATCTCCAATTTCAATTCCAACAAGTGCTTTAGTTACACGCTAAGAAAAAAAACTAGGGACCTCTTTAAAGATTCTTTCTTGTTCTCTTCTTCATTTCTCCAGTACTACTTTGCGCCCCCTGTTCTGTTTTCTACCACTACCCCCCCCCCCCACCTGAGAGTTTGAGCAGTACTTCCGCGTTTCCTCTTCGCAGATCGATATTGGAAAAAAATATTTAAAGAAATATGACCGTAATAACAGGCATGAGGTTGAGCGTCTCCGTGTTGAGCCTTGTCGGGAGTTCGCTGTCTGCGCTTGGCACTGGTTTTATATGTCTTTGCTACCTCTTCCTTCCACTGAAGGCGCATTTCAGACATAGGTTGATCCAGAACTTGGCCCTCGCTGGTATGCCTAATGCTTTTTATTCCCATGGATCTGCGTTAGTGGTGGGCACATGCTCATCTAGAATCCTTCTAGATTTCCTCAATGCTACATCCAACTCAGCATCGGGCTTCTACATTTTGGTTAGGGATCGTGAACTTCCGGAAGGCATTGGCTGTAGGATGAATGGGCTAGTAACCCAAATTACCGTACAGGTTTGTTGTTTATTTAAAAATAAAAATAAAAAAATCCTAAATGGATAGTGCGAACGAGTGACAAATAGTCACTGACAACAATATCACTATATTATCACAGGCAACAGATCTTTCCATCCTGGCTATTGCAATAGTAACAGTCTGGGCCGTTACAGCACCCGCAACATTCGGCTTGTGGAGCACACGGAAGGCAATCATCGCAGTCTGCTTTATCTGGGTCATTCCATTCACCACTGGTAATATCCCCTCATCCCTCCCTCCCTCCCTTCACCAAACAGTCAATTAACCAACCCCGCAGGCTTTACAGCCTTCGCGAAAGACTGGTACCACCCGGTGAGTGGAAACTGGTGCTGGATCCAAGCGAAGCCAGCACACCTACGCTACGTCCTAACCCACGCCTGGCGCTTCTTCGTGATCATTTCGGTGATTGCGCTATACACCCACTTGCACCTCTTCCTGCGCAAGCACTTCAAGGAGGTCCGCAGTGCACGCAACAGCCCACTAACGGACTCCATAGACTCACAACCGCAACCCACATCGTTGGATAACCCCACCGCGCGCTCCCACAAACCCCGTAGAACGAACGAGGACAGCGAGGACGACTATGAGGTCTCGCTAAAGGAGATTCCCATGAAACTGCATGACAGCAATAGTACCCAATTCGACCCCAGCTCGAATTTATCCGGGGGTGAGAACATACACGTTAATACGGCGATGGAAGTTACAGAGGGCCAGGGTCATCAAGGTCAGAGCAGCCTTTGCCCACAGCCCACAATGGCAGAATTTTCAGCCACTGGCCTCCACAGCCTGACACATACCCGAAAGCTATCTTGTCAGGACTTGGAATTCGAGAAGAGGCTTAAAAAGGTCCTGCTTATGAGGGGCTACCCTACCTTCTACGTCATTCTGGTGATCCCCGGAATTGTGAATAGGTTGGTGGAGGCTTCGGGTGGGAGCTCGAGGGCTTTGCAGCTTATGCAGGCTAGTACCCAGTTCGTTGGGTTGGCGAATGCCATCACCTATGGATGGAATGAGAGCATCCTAGTGCAGCTTAAGAAGAGGTTTGGTTGGACGTCAAAGCCTTCGCCTGGGCCTGATATGGTGTAGGAATTAATCGTAGGAGTAGAGGGAGAAGATATTTTTGGTTTTTGTTATTGCTGCTGTTGTTGGAGTTTGTTTTTGGAAGTGTGTACAATATAAAAGTTTTCTTTTTCTCTTGTATGATATCATTTCTTTTGTTCATTATCACCGGAACAATGAAATTCCGACTGTGGTTTGACCAGCTAGCGGGACTAGCTGAGAATCACATATACGATTATTCCTAGTACGAAGATAAACCCTACAATACATATTTCTGATATATCTTTTTTTCTCCTCCCAAAAGCGGGTAATATAAAAAGATCACCGAAAAGGACAGCCAACACGGCAATCGCGACGATCCCCCCACCGTGACGAGCGAGTTACCGTGCATTCCCCGCATACACCCTGACAATATCAATTCCAGTATAGGTCACACGAAATCTGTTATCCTCACTGATAGTCACCATCCCGTTTCGTCCAGCAAGGCAAAGGAACGAATAAAAATGGCATAAAGGGTGGGACAATTCCCCATACCGGTACGGTGGTAAAGAGGGTAGCCCGGCCAGCCATATATCGGGGGATAGTGAGAAGGGAGGAAACAAGGAAGGAAGTGCAATTGGTAAATTTAAGCCCATCTCCCAGGGAACATTCATCCTGTCTTAGTAATACCATGAATCTACCAAGAGTGGCCTCGTTAACAGGTTAAACCCCCTCGGCAAATAATTATGATACTATCATAGCACTTTTCGCCAAGGAAACCATCAGCGATTGACTTAACGACTCTTTGACATTCACCGCTCCTATCATAACTTTCCCAAAAGTTGAACTACTCGTGAACCATAGTCTCCATGAAAACTTGAGATATTCCCATTTCCTCCCTATCGGTTTGTGGAGAACCGGACAAGTGAGTACAATAAGTTACTCCAATTGCAGATGCCCCCTCCCCTACGAGCTCTGTCAATGATTATCCTACAGCATTCAGCGACAGCGATGCCAAGATCATACCCCCCCCCCAAAAAAAAAAAAAAAAACCCCCACCATGCGGCTGCGTAGCCACTTCGAAAATGGTGCAAGTAAGTTATAGTAATTGTATCGGGAGGTATGCTATGTAGCTATGGGGGGGATTTCGGGAACACATACACCCGCAAGAGTCCTCAAAATATGATAGATAAATACGCAGTTCTTAACCCACTCTTGTTTATGCACCGCATCAGCCATAGTGATACTCCGCGTATTTCTCGGTCCGAAATGCGTAACTATATCTAACTTTCCGACGTTCATAATTATCATAGCGAAAATGGCATGGTCACCTCCCGAGGCGATCTTCAAGTCTGAACATAATTTTCAGGGAGATGCAATCTTCACCGCCCATCACTCCGCAACATTGCAAAGCTATCATGCTTCCTCGAAGAGCAAAAATGTCCATGTCCCAACCCCATATCGCGACGCATGTGAAACCCACCGCCCCTTCAACCGAAGTAAGTACTTTGCGATTATTCCCGAAAAATCGCCTTTCCTTCCCCCTGTCCGGCTCGCCAAAAAAGCCCCAACCTAGACAGTAACGTATCCCACATTAGAGAGCGGGTATCACCTATGATAGAAACAGTATGTCCCAAATGCTGAGTCGGCCGACAGGAGACTCCACTTTAGGCGATAAGCCGTATCCTGAGAAGGTAAAGTATCAATTGTATCAAGCTATCAAAAACAGTGGCATGCCTAAAAACCCAGAAAAATAACGAAATGTGAGAGGGGGGAGCTAACAAAGGCTGCACTGTCGAAAAGACAAGAGGGGGATCCAGGATTAGCAGTACTGGGAAAGTAGTAGACAACATGGTTTCCTAGTCATTACCCACAATTTGCCGTAAAGCTTAGTAGCTCCATCGATCAGCAAAGAGTCTCCGCAAACAATAATATTATCCTATAAGAAAGAGCACTACAACATCAAGCTTTAAACGTTATTATGCAAGTACCAGTCTCAACCAGAAAACATCTAGAAAATGAAAAAGAAGGTATATACTTTCGGTTTCCCTTCCTGAGTGAAAGTAATCTGGCAGATGGTAAGACTCGATCCTCATATCGTGCAAGGTAGACCACATAGGGTGTTGACAATTTCAGGGTATGTCTTATCACTTAGGCTTACTCCTTCTCCCTCCGCTGTCTACCAGTGCAAAGACAAAGGTCACTATGTGCTAGAATTTATAAACAGAGATTAATAACCTAATGACCTACTTTCCTATAATCATACTTCTTGTCTCCCACGGGTATCATACTCCTTAACTTACTACTCAATTGGTGAACAAACTATCAGTTTTATGCCGAAAAGTCTCTTATCGTCACCAGAGTATTTAGAGTTCTTGGAATATCACTTCCCACCAAGCGAAGCTCCTAGAGCTTTTACGAATAGATGGTCTACTGGGTTTGAAAATTGGGGATTGGCAAAGGGAGAGTGAGGCCATGGCTGCAGAGGAGGATTATCGGGAGGTCAAGTGTAAGGGAGAGGATAGCGCGGGGCCGTAATACGATCACCAGGATCGATAAGTGGAATCAAATATTGCATTATCGGGTCATCCAATATCACCCGCTTCTTGTGAATCTTGTCGCCTGAAAACTTTTTATATGATAATGTTATCATACTCGCTAAGCTAGTTTTGCCAAGCAAGGTACCAGATAAGCCTAGTGTCTGCCAACTACTGTAAGAACGTCACTTATGAACTAGTGAGTGAAACCCAGAACAGAGGAAGGGATCCGGTGTTCCTATCCATGAGGGCAGGAGGGGGGACACAATTAGAACCTTGCGCGATTGGGCTTGGTGGTGGGTCGGGTGGCGTGTGGCCTTTCTAAAAAAAATATTTTATTGCATCATACTTGAATGCTAAAGCCAGTTTCGGTGCCTGTGCAGCTGCGCAAAGGCTCTTGTTGCAGTACGAGTACTCATACCAGCACGGCAGAGGGAAGGGAGAGCCCAAATCTCCCACCTTCATTTTCAACCATCCCGGATTGTGGATTTGATGATGTGATGTGGAATATATATGAAGGGCTTGTGGCTATGGTTGGTTCGGCAGCGATATGATAACGTTATGCTATACGAGTACAGCACAATGCAATGCTGGTGCCCTCATGGACTACTCGATTCCCGTCTTTCCCGCACCAAGAAATAACTTATACAAAGAAGTTGGCGGTTTTCATATTATGACGAGAAACAAAAAGTTACTTTTGGGATGAAAAAATGAAAAAATGAAAAAAGGAAGAGAGGAAAAACGAAGTTTAGACCAAACAGCAAGTATTTGAAGTTTTCTACTGTACAACTTCATGCAAGCAAAAACGTTTAAAACACCAATTACCCCCTGCCTCATTTTCCGAGTACCGGTACTTGTCCCAAGCATATACAACATCCGAAAATACGAGTTGTGGGTTTATACGAGCGCCCAGATACGCACATATATTTTACCATATATCCCACGAATCCGTACCTCCAGACACTCATTGCCCGAGACAAGTACTTGTACGCTGCCCTGCCGTCGAGCTATCGCGTGAAGTGCTTCGCTCCAGATAAAATACATGAAGGAGCAATACCGAAGGGGGAAAAGTGAGGAAAGAGACAAAAAAAGGTGGTGGAAAAGATATTACAGGATCGGAAGATCTATCGTAATTCGCCATCCCCGGTAGGCCTGATATCCGGATTCAGAGACAAAGGCTCCCGAGAAGAAATTAGTGCTTTCCTAGCACGATAACCTGAGCCCTCTAGACGTGTTGGATCTCGTTGGCTGGTTTTTGTGGCGCGGCCAACCTGTCAAGCTAAACCTCTCGCGGACAATCCCACGCTTCCGCCGGTGGTCCGATAGCAAATTCCACCCCCCATTGAATGGGAAGAAAGGGAAGAAAAATGGGTGAAAACCCCGAGGTGACCAAAAGGAAATGATGAGAAAAACGAAGATCTGGCCCATAATGAAACCTCAGAAAACAAGAAAAGTGGTCAGAATATCACAATCCCGTAGGGGAGCCATAGTCCATGTCTTGAAGAATTGAATAGATGAACCTTCATTATTATCGCAGAAATCACTCTCGCTTTCCTACACCACTCCCAATAATACACAAGTTAGCATGCTGTCAGGCGTATCCCCCATTACGTGCAAATCAAATGAAAATAAATGGGAAAGAGAAAAATAAAGTGTACATACCTGCCTCCTCCACTGGACCTACCGCAATCCCCCCATTGCCACTCCCACTAGCACCCCCCGACTTGCTACTTCCCAAGTCGCTGGGGCGTTCGTAGCCACAATTCATGCTTCGTTCTCTTGCAGAACTCCTCAACAAATGCAGCTCCCGAAGTCTTGCTGGTAACTCATTCTTCCGTTTCTCCTGGGCAGCCCGGAGGCTATCATGGACACCCGATTCCAGGGCCTGGCGTTTGTCCTCGTCAATGAGTCCGGCTGTATTAGATTCCTCAAGGATCGCGGTATTGAGCACGTTGAGGGCATCTAGAAATTCGGGTGAATCCGAAAGCAGGAGCACTGATACATGCTGCATTACCCTACACCAAGTGTGGGGGTCTCGGGATGGAACGATTGGGGGATAGCCGGAAACTATGGGTTCGTTTTGGTGGCATTAGTGAGGCCTCTTAATAACCGGTTGCTCACCCCAAACTTTACTAGACGGGGGCAAGCCGGTGAGAAAGTAGAAAAAGTGAGGGTGATACGAACATCTTAAGGTTTTCTTCTGATCCACGTACCACGAACTGCTACGGAGTGGTAATCCCTCTATTCGATTGGAAGTCAAATCATGTGTCAATTCCACCAACGCGTGACCAGTTTCGTCGTCTGAGCTCGCTCCTCCCTCCCGCAGATACATCTTGAAAAAAACCGTCCAGGTCGAGCCTTTCAACTCCTCCTCTGTGCGCAACCAGTCCTCGTTTGCGATTCGTATTAAGGTAGTGTAAGCTCGGAACCATCCGTCCGGCACCAGCTGGAATGCCCATTGATCACGAGCTATGGAAGATATGTCTATAAGCGCGGCATGTGAAGACAAGAGGCCATCAAAGAAGTGATGGCGCCAATGGGTATTTGCTGTCGCTGCAGGGAGTATTGAACGGGAAGTCAAGCGCAGTGATGTTAGGTCCTGGGGTGAGAGCAAGGAGAACACTTGGTGGATCACTATTTGCCCCTGTCAGCGATTTGAAAATCATCTCCCACTCTCTACCTTAAGACCCCATGGAGCTCTAGCCCTATCGCCGACCGCAAAGGAGGAGAATGTGGAAAGGGGATCACGCAGAATGATGAACATGCTTCTTCTATGGTAATTGGAACCATATGCAGATCCTGCATGGGGGGACGATTGAGCCGTTGGGGAAGGGGTCGACGGCAGAGGGTCTTGTGAATAGGCGACGCATAACAATTATTTTCCCTTACCTTCCAGCGGAAGCTTCTCTAAAGATAATCCAATTACCATGACGTTGATCTTTCCCAAATTACCCTACCCGGGCCTGGTGAATTAAGGGAGGGATGTTGCAGAACTATGGAACTGGGTTGATTTTGAATGGAAAGGAGCAAGAGCACAGAGAAAAGTGTGTGAAGAAGCTGGGAAAAGAAGAGTAAACTTTGTATAAAAGAGAAGGGGGAGGTAGCGGTGGATAAGAGAATACAAGCCCGGCTGAGAAAGTTTGGGTAGAAATGACGAAGTGCAAGAAACAAGAGGAGAAATAGATATGTATAAAAAGGAATGTCTTAAGGATCGGAGAAGGCAATTTGTTCAAGCGAGGGACTAGACCCTCTATTTTAGTTGATTCTTGAATTTGACTTTTTTTTTTTCTCCTCGGGGGAGAGAAGTGAGAGAGGTTTTTGAAAAGAGGATTTGGATGATGAACAGGACGCGGCCCTTTGGAGCGAACCTCTTCCGGCGAGGGGTGTTGGTGCCCGAGTCCCAAGGCTCGAGACTCAAGAGAGCCACGACGCTAGGGCACGAAACCCAAGAATTAGACCAACCGAAAGAAACCCCTTGAATTGTGTTCAGGGATGCGATGTCTTCATGACCCAGAGACAGTTGAACCTGGTTAAAAGAGAAGTGTTTCTGCGATCGTATTCCAGTAAAAGAAAATCACACAAAATTCAGTAGATGAGTGGGGGGGGAAAGAAAAGAAAATATCATTAAATCAAGCTGTTAGTACCCTGTTATAGCTGTAAAGTACTGGTTACTGTAGTCTACCATACCGGGTTACCCCGATAAGGAAGAAGAGACTTCTATCCCCAGGACTTGGCAAAGAGATACAAGAAAGGATTTTCCAGTTTTAGGCGAGGTTAGACTTTCTCCCCTTCTCCCTCCCTGCCAATCCCCACTCTTCCCCTTCTGCGAAGGTTTCTGGGTGGCTTGAAAAGAAGCTTGTCCTGCTTATGCATTTGGAGCTTGAAGCTGGAGGAGGAAGGGTCAACCGATCATGGATCTTGCTGTCGATCAGCAATGCATGCCATCAGTCAAAAACGAGAGGGGAAAGGCAGGAGGGGATTGTACGAGCAGAGATGGGGATGGGAGTGGTGGTAGCATCATTTTTGCAAATGGTTCAAGAAAAGGGGCGGGACGAGAGCACGGTGGGGGGACACTTACAAGAGGCTATTAAATTTTCTTAGCATATTTTTTGGAATTATTTTTTCCTATTTACTAATCCTAAATAGGAAAGTGACGATTCCACTTCTGGCATAACCGATTTCCCCATTACGGTACCACTAGCTCAATTTTGATCCGGCTTTAACAAATTTGTATCATATGTATTCGAAATTGGTCCTCTCTCATACAAATTAGGAGCCCTTTCTACTCCATCAAAACATATTGTTTTTGCATGAGACCAACCTCTTCTATAATCAATTCTCTATTGGTTCTGATTGATATCATAACCTTTTAGTCTTGTTGAAACATGATGCCATTCTTGTTGAGGCAATTTCCGACACGGCCTCTCCAAGAGTCCCCACGCTGGCACTGCGCCATCACGGATAAATTTACTCGAGTACAGTACCGGTGTGACCTAGTGGGATAGGGCAGGGTAGTTTAGCAGTCATGCGGGTCATTTCGTCACCCACTAAAAAGTTTTGCTTATCGTTTACGTGGCATGTATCGTTTTGTGTATTTAAGCCACCTTGTTTTTCTGTAGTTTAGGAGAGAGGGACCATTGGGGGCACACCATAGGAAAATCACCACTCATCAGTTCTTTTAAATTGACTGAGCCACAGTTTCTTTTAGCCTACCCTTGCATAGTGGGTTTGTCGATAGTGGGTTGGGTCAATTCTGCACTTATCTATTGTGTGGGTTAACGAGAGGTCACGACTGCATCATGGAGGTGGGATACAGCATGTGCAACACACCATCCAATCAACGCGAGTAGAAGAAACAGCGTGACAACTGGTGCTCTGAAATGGATCAGTGTTGAGAAGCTTGACGACTTGCCCCCTACAATCTTCACATCACGATCTCGTCATTACCAGTGTAGAATCTCAAGATTGCGGACAAAATTGAGGAAGAACTGGTGACCCTCCTGGAACAGTACCTGGACCGCCCAAGGGAAACAAGACTAGAGAGGGCTGAGTCAGACGATCTAAGCACCTTGTATTATAGAAGGGACGGATACTGGCACTCTATCACAACACGTGAACTGTGGGAGGTAGCAAAAGGAGAAATTGACAAGTCTTAGTTGGCCATTATCCTCCAAGTATCCCATTTTGTTAGCCAGTTGGCTTGGTGGGATAATGGGTCAATAGCACAAGATGGGAATGGAGTTTACCGGGGAAGATGGTACAAAGATGAAGGACTTCTTGAGATGGATGAACTCGTGGTTTGCTACTATGGGGGAGGAGTTCAGTGGAGAAACCCCTTAGTCAAAGAGAAGGCGGATTGCTCGACTTCATCTTGCTTGTCCGGTTCGCTCAGCCGCCGGGAGGTTCATCAACACGTTAGAGAGTACAGTCTTTTGGGACGAAGAGCTGTTGAAGGAGGCTTTGACTGACCGGTTCCATGATGCTGAGCGGGAAGACCAGGCTGATGAGGACATCCTGACTAGGATGAGTACGCTCTGTCAAGGTGAACAGGATGTCTTCAAATACTCACACAAGGTACTCAAGATGCTACGGCAGAGATCAAGTGGGATGGACCACTACGATCGAATCCTGATTGGCCACTACCTAGACCGCTTGACAAGTCGGCGTCTGCGCGAATTGGCGATTCTGAGTTTTCGCAAGCAGGACTCACGAGAAACCCCATCACAGGTCGTGAAAGGCGTTATACAATTGGCAACTCAGTTTAAGATGAAGGGCTACCGCAGATACAGTAGTCGGTATTGTAATAACAATGATGAGGATGAGGATGGGAGCGACGATTAGGGTAGCTCTGACTCCGATGACTTAGAAGCCTTCAGCGATGATGAGGATAACTATTACAATAAGAAAAGAAGGAAGGCAAGGAAGATGGCAGGGAGAAGGGAATCGGGTAAAAGGAAAGAAGGAGGGTCACAGAGTAAGAAGAGGAAGATCCATAAGAACCACAGCAGTGGGGGAACAGTTAGTAGAGAAGTGCAAGAACTGCGGGAAATGATGCGGGACCTGATGCAGGTGCAGGAGGCAAAGGCTACACCGAGGACTGGAAGAGGAGCAGAGCATGTTGAGGAAGAAGTTATTCCCTTGGAGACCTATGCAATTGGAGGACAGTATATGAGGCAACCGTATTGGCAACAGAATCCTGACTATCCCTCTGTTTGCCATGCGGAATACCCAGATAGGCATGGCAAAGGATGGCGTCCCACAGAGTTCAGCCAGAGAGGAGGAGTGGCACGCCTAAATGCCTCCAATGATGCGTATTGGGAGATGGCACGTACGGGTCACCCTATACGTTCTTATTTTGTAAATAGGGTGAGGCGGCTGGTAGATGTCCCATATTTCACACAGCCTGCTGCTCTGCCACAGGGTAACGGTCCATCCAATAATCTGTCAGATGAAGTATCGCGACTGCAACCAATTGTCGGGCCGAATGGAGTGCTCTATTACCAATCCCGCCTATGTATTTGCTATTATTGTCGAGAGGAAGGCCATGTGTGTGTACAGTGTCCAGTAGTTCACGGTGCGAGACCAAGAACAGGCAATCTTGGACCAGGACATCCAAATACTCCCATCGTGTCTGGGAGAGAGTCGTCAGCACGAGCCCGAGACAGACCAGTCAATGTAATTGAGGTTGTGAAAAGATCATCGGCATTGGAGGGAATGAAGGTACGGGAGGTATCTGCTGCTACTGTGGAAGATTCGATACACCTGAGGCAGTTTATTCAGCAGGTCGAGGATGAGGAGGATAGTGATCACGATATGTCCGACGACACAGATAGAGTGGAAGGTGTACCTGGAATGGCTGGAGAACAGGCACGCCATTTCAGTGATCTTCCCCGTGAGTTTGGTGGTGAAGAAGGCCCAGCGGCCCAGCGCCATAAGACCACTGAGGACGAAGACGATATTGTGGAAGTCAGTCAAGGCAAGAAAAGGACTAAAACTGTAGGATCCAGGGTAGTGCATAAGCTGATCCGTATGATGGCGGGCCGTGAGCGGTTTGATTTCGTCGGAGCGTTTCGGGAGGCTCCAGTTACTGGTCTCATTTGGGGCTCTTTCTTCGATTTGGCACCAGCAGTGAAACGAGACATCTGTTATTTGTTGGTTCAGGAGCATACCAAGGGAGCCAATAGTTGAAGGGAGAAGAGTAAGGACATGGCCAAGAAGGATACAGGTGACGGCAGAGGTGATGGCAGACCCAAGGATGAAGTCTTAACCGTGGCTACCGATCGGAACTTAGGAGACATTGCGAACTTCTACATAAAGGGGACTATTCGTACAGAAGGAGGCAGCTATCATATTACGAGAATCTTGGTTGACGCAGGCTCCGTGGTGAACCTGATGCCCATCTACCTCCTACAGTACATCGGGGCGAAATTGCACAAGGTGGAAGGAATGGTCATTCGCACGGCCACAAATGCACTGGCAAAGATAGCGTATTGTACGGATATCCACATCACAGTTGCAGAGGTGTCATGTGATCTCTGGGTTTATACCCTCCCCGCAGAATACGAGCCTATGTATCCTCTACTTCTTAGTCAACAGTGGTTGCAAGCGGTGAAGGCAAAGTGAGACTATGCGAGCAGCCAGTACTTCATCATGCATCGTCATGGCACTCGGGTGAAGATTCCCCAAGATCAAAGCGCACAGATAAGGCCTCAGAAACATCGCCCTCGTGTTCCAATTGTTATGAGGGACAAGAATACCAAAAAGCATGAGGTGTCCATGGAGGTAGAAGAAGAGCTGGAATGACAGCGATCAGGTGGCAGGAGATTCTTTGAGGAGTTAGTCGAGTTCGTAAAGAGGCAGGCGGAGGAGGAGATTAGGCATGAGGATGAAGGAGAAAATAGTAGATCTTCCGATGACTCAGAAAACTAGCAGCGCCAGATGATATCTCAGGTAGGTTGTCTGATGTGAGGGATAAGGGAAAGTGTGAGGATGTTTTTTGTATTTCAGATCTGAATGACTTGAATGGAGGGATAGAACAGGGGAGCAGTGCGAAGGTTAATAGTACTATAGAAGGCTTGGATGTTTTGAATGTAACGGAAGAGACAGAGAATAACATGTTGGTGGCAGATCTATGTGGATTACAAGATAGTACTGAGGGATAGGAGATAAAAGCATTTGGGAATAGTGAGGTTTATCTATGTGGCGAAGTGGGTTGTTGGAAAGACAGCGGATGGGAGTCACGAATGGTGAATGCACGGGAGGTGAGAAGAGGGGAATATTCGGAGATGGAGAAGGGGAATGGGATCACAGAATCTGGTAGGGAAGAAAGGATAGCAGATAAGGTAGAAGGGCCTGGGGTACCAGAGCTTTACGATCAGGAGCGAACTCCAAGTTGGACGAACGCTGCGGCCATTAGCACCACAGCTGAGATGGAGGAGTTTGGGTATATACTGGAGTTCTCTACTAAGCAGCGTCCTGCCAGTTATCGTCGCACAATAACGAGTTCAGCAAGCGAGATTCCTATATGGTTTACGGCATCGAGAATTAAGCTGGGAGCCCAGTTGACTGAAGGGCAAAGGAGGGAAGCCAAGCACTTGTTGTATACATGGAGGGACCTTTTCGCTGACAAGTTGAAGGACATGCCTGTGAGGGATCTGGTTGTACATCAGATTCCCATCTATCGAGGAGCTCGGCCCAGGCGAGCAAGAGACAAGCTATATACGAGGGAGGAACGCGATTGGTTGGAGTTGAACATACCCACGTTAGAGGAGGCCGGTATTATTGCCTGATCGGAGTCTCCTTGAGCACATAGGACGAAGTTTGTAAGAAAGAAAGACAGGGGTTTGAGGATGGTTCATGTCTTTTGTCCAATTAATAGCATAACGATGTTGTCAGGCTACCCGACGAGTGTCACGAACGTGGCTTAGCGAGGAAAGGGTTTTTCACGTGACACATGGTTATGAG